AGAAAAGAGCTCACTCTCCCTGGCCCCGTCTGTCCTAGGCTGTCCCTCCTATGAAGTCATCTAGCCACCAAGGTTGTCACCAATGTCATCAGTGATGATGTGGAAACTGGTCCCTGGGGGGACTGTGGATGGAGACTCCTGCCCCATTTCACATAATACATTCACAACCGCTCAGTGGTGAGAGATACCAGCTATTATCAGCCTGCAGCAATCTTGTATTCAGGGCCTGGTTGTGAAAAGCATGATGTCTTCTGACTGACCCACACAGTCACCGAATCCCCCCTAATTTAAGGGTATCATTAGGATACCAGTCAATGGGGTGTGAGAAACAGAATGGATCAGCGAGGATGATCTGTGAACTCAAGTAAGAAAATGATGCAGATTCATAGGAAAAGTTGCTCTGGAACTAGAGAAATCCTCAAACACGCAGTGTTAGACCGCCTCAGTGTAATTGTAATTGGGAGACTGGTGGTAGCAAAAAGGTTACAATTTATTATAAGCTGTCATTCTCCTAAAGCAATTTCTCTACGTTTTCTGACTAATATGGACATCTCTTACAGCACGTTCCAAAGCTTTCTTATCCTGCCCACATTGACAATGTCATTGAAAGCAATGAGGAAAATTAGCAGGATCTGAGCACCCATCAATACAAACCTACTGTTTTAATTAGTTCTGTTGCTTTAATATTTATATTGCAGCCACACCTAAACTGAGGTCTCGCTGTACCAAAAAACAGGATGCTCCAAAGTTCTCAGACAGGTTCTGGCCTGTGTAAAAAAGCACTTACCTACACTCAGCTCTGTCCCACTGCTGAGGATGAGCCTTGAAGAGTGGGACACAGCACAGTAATAGGTGCCCTTGTCTGATGGCTGAACGTGGAAGATCTTCAGGGAATGGGAGTTTCGGAAGTTCTTGCTTATGTAAAACCTGCTGTTGTCAAAGCCACTGCCATAAATGTACTTGTTAATCATCGTCACAAATACTATAAACTGGAACGTTTCTTTCCCCTTGCTCCAGCGGTACCAGTAAATGCCCTGATTAGAAAGCTCCTCACTTATTACACAGACAATGTCTGTGGTATTGCTGTGTTTCAGGGCTATAATATGTGGTGGATTCTGAACGAGACTGGAACTGGTGAGGCGACCTACTGGAAGAAAATAATATGTATCAGTGCTCTAACTACTGATTTCTACGCATAACAAACAAAGGTTTTCTTCATAAGCTTACAAATTTCTGTGCTCATAAAATCATGAACTCGTACACAATGGATCAGCTCCATTAGGAAATCTAGCCCATCTTCCAGGACAATTCTTGACTGTTCCCTTACACCTTGCCATGCCAGCATCTTGCAACCCGAGTTCAGATACTATGGCAATTGCAGTTTTACAAATACACATCTTGACTGGCAGAGACATTAAATAATTAGATAAATAGCCTGACTGAGTGATTGGTCAGTTGATAAATGTCTAGTGTTTTACCCAGTCTATATTTAAAACTCCCAATCAATGGAGGTTTCACATCTTTCCTATGGAGATGTTTTCCCCCTTTTTGTAGCTTTAGTGCTTTATCATGCTTTGGGCGCGTTTTACCTCTTTTTGCCATTTCTTTATAAACTTGTTAGCTTGTTTGCTGGATTCTCTCTGGCTGGAAAAGCAACAAAACAGGCTGAAGATCTTTTTAAATAAGGTATCAAAACCCATAAAGGAAAGAACCCCAGCTTGGCCAAGGACAAATACAATAAGCAGCCCACAGAAACACTGGCAAGCTATTCAAGTTAATGGGAGCTGATGGCACTCAGCACTCCACAGCACTCAGATCTATTTTAATGCATTTTTTGGATATTTAGTTTTACTCCTGACATTTAAAGATAGGTGGTAAAGCAGACATCCAGATCTGCTGCTGTGTTAATGCTACTCTGCTAATTTACATCACAGACAAAAGTGAGACTACTCTGATTGATTTAAATGGACCGTCCATTTGTTTATTCTGTGTCACCTGTTGCAGGATCTGGCCTTTGGAAGATTTGCAAGCATGTGGGACTTGGACCATCTCTGATTTAAAGTAAAAATAAATACCAAATATTGGTCAGATTTTCATCACCTTTTTTCACGATGAAGAGCACCTTACAGCCATCACAGCTTGATTCTTCAATATCTTTACTTGCCTTCAGTTGTATTCACAGCTCCAACGATCCCACTGACCTCAGTGCAAGTGCTCCGGGAGTAGGATCTACCACTCACTGGGAATAGCGTCCTGCAGTTCTGCCTGTTGACTTTATTTAGACTATTTGTGGGGAAAAGTGCTACTCACTGGGTGCGTCTACACGAGACATTTACTGTGGAGTTGTCTAATTAGCTCTGCGGTAAAGTCTCTGCATCTACGTGTGTGGCTGTATTAGGTCGCAGGAAAGTAACAAATGCCGCCATAAGTTAGTACTTGTAAATACAAGTACTGTTCTGCGGCAGCATTATTTACTGTGCAGCAATGCATATGTAGATGCTGGTGGGGCTGGCTGGGGCACGAGGGTGCTTCAGTGCAGGGGGTGTCTGCTGGCTACCCCTGCACTGAAGCACCTCTGTAACCTGGCCAGCCCCTCCACAGCATACCGAGCTGGGTCGGCGCAGCCCCTGCCAGCCAGGGCTGCTCTCACCCGGCTCAATGTATAGCGGTCCCAGGCACGTGTGTAAATGAGGCACCGAGGAGCAATAAACTGGAGTGATATGCACCAGAGTTTATTGCTCTGTGCTAATAGCACATGTAGATGCACCCAGTAAGGGTCCCAAACCTAAACCTGGCCTTCTTGCTTACTTTTAGTAGCATTGATTTTTTGAGCCAGGAAATTAGCAAAATCTTTCTGATCTCTTTATGGATGGAAACATCAGCGACCAGAGGGATGGGACACTTAGCAATGGCATTAACTCACTGTGACTGTTTTTTGATTTCTTCATAAATCTCAATATTTGAAGTCAAGGGATTACGGGACAATTTCTGCCTTCTTTAAAATCTTAAATTCTAGCTTCCTAGTTACAGAAAAAGACTGATATATGAGCTCTCAACACTCGAAACTCAGAAGGAAAATAACAAGAACATTATCATTAACGCCATCACTATTACTATGGCTAGTCATCTTCTTTTTATATTGATCTTGTGATTTTGGTTAGAATGGCTTAGACTTACAGTTTGAACGCTTTGGGTGCGCAGCATTCAGAGAATCAGAGAAACACAGAGAAGTAGGGCTGGGAGGGACCTCGAGAAATACTGAAATCAGCTTTTGCAAGTATCACATAATCTCTTGGCTCCAAATATAGAGATCCATGAGAAAATCTAGAGAACTATTACCCCCATGAGTTAATATTATTGCTGAGTGTCCTATTCCTCTTGTTGCCAATATATCCAGTGGTAAAGAGATCTGAATCACATTGCCGGGCTCAAAAATCAATGCTAATCATTTGTCTTGGTGCCTATGTGGTATGTGTGTGCGTGCCCATGTAGGAACAGAGAGAGAAAATTGTATACATGCTTGTGCAGGAATGAGGGAGGGAATTATGGGTTTTTTTCAGCAGATGCACCAACAAACTCTGTGCATCGTGCAACAGAATAAAAACAATACTGCTTAACCACGACCCCTGCCCTGCCAACCTGCTTCCTGTGTATGTTTGTGAGGCACGCCTTCAGCGAGACAGGTTTCTCTCACATTTCTTGCCCCTTAGTCATAGAAGGCACATGCTCTTTTAGAAACCTGGGATCATGCATAGCAAGTGTTGCTAATAATAAGAATGCTTGAGCCCCTGGCTTGCTTGAATACTTCATCCACGCAGCTGAATTCTGCACCTGTACAGACCCCCAGGACCAGATATCAGGGGGCTGACACCTGCCTGCAAGGATCATTGCTTTAACTGTCACATAGCACTTCTGGCTGTTCTAGGGTTAAAGATGGGGTCAGGTGGCTACATTACCATTAGCCTAAAACCCGCTCTAGAGTAATGCTTAGCTCAGGAATTTGGCTGGACTAGGGATTAGATCTATGGGTGAATTGCAGGTGCATTCATCTGGGCCCTTGGAGACAGTGTTGACTTTAATACATTTAATACATTCCCGTCGATCTCTGAATGCTTCTGGGAAGAACATACTCAGCTATCTTTCCAGCAAACAAAAAGCTAAGCCTGGTTGCCTTTATTCCAGCAAAATTCCCATTGGAGTGAATGGGTGTTATTTCTGGAAGAGTATTTCTGGATGTGGTCTCCACTCTCAGAGCAGGCCTGAATCTGCCTCAACTTCCTTGCATTAATAGTTCCACTGGCATCTGCACACTGAGGCAAATGAGCAGGATTTGGTCCCCCGTAAATACATGGACTCTGACTTTGCAGCACAATCCCTTTTTCTCTCTTGAAAATGTCTAGCACGACACAGGGGATCAGGCTGCTAGTGTAACACGCTGATGGCCAGTGTCATGTCATTTTAATTTTTATGTGCTGTATCCAAGGCTGTTTCTGTAAAATCTTATTCTGGCAAATACTTCCTTGTCTTGCAAAGTGAATGAGACGGCATTCATAAATGTGTGCGGGATTGTTGTTCCAGCATCCATAGAATGAAAAAGTCCATGTCACTGCTCACCAAATGGATTATTGTATACATGGGTGCAATTTTTCAGAGCACTCAGTAGTGGCCTAACCCTATTCCCATTGAAGTCAATGGTAAGGCTCTCAGAGTTAGCAATAGGAACAGACTGAGACTACAGTAATGCCAAAAATCCTATCCAAAACTGCACTGGGTATTAGTACTTAAACATACTCCTGGGCCTACTGTGAGTTCACAGCTAGGGTGATATTGCAAAATTACATCACAAGTTTGTATTTGCTACTGAAGGGAATAAGGATTGTAAGGATGATCTTCTGTTGCAGACGGATTCCTCTTCACCCGGCTTTCAAGGAGATGCTAATCAAATGCTACTCTTTATAAATGTTCATTCCCAATCAGATTTGCCATGGAAACCACCAAAATTACAAACATTTTTCTATATTTAATTTGTGTAATTATAACATTTGGAGTTTCTCAAAATGAGAATGAAGTAAAACTCTAGTCATAACTTGTATTTTCTATTTTATAATATATTGGTTAATTTAATCCCCATATTCTGTCTTGACTTTCAGCCTTTATGATCTCAGTATAACCCATAGGAGTATAGAGCCTTCATAATCAAGCAGAGGGAAAACTACCAAGTCTCCATTCCTGGAAAGAATAAGTAAAATAGTTCATGGTACTTGATACTAAAAACTTAGCATCTAATTTCAAATTCATGGTGCTCTTGCCTTACTCTGGCCTTACACTTAATCAACTATAAACCATCCCATAAAATACATAATGCACTAAACCTGTTGGTAAAACTTAAGTTAAATTTATATTTATAATATATCATCCTAGCGCATACATATATCATGGATGTTTTGAATGCTCCAAGCACCATAATATGTAAGTGCTGTTAAAAGAAATGCTAAACTGTTGGGGTTATATACTGTAACCATAATACAACAGAACCTATCCTTAATCTGCACCTTTGGTACTATTTCAATGATTAAACATCACATACCATATTTTAATAACATGTTCATATTTACTATGAATCTATGGAGCAGATTCAGCACTTGGTTATATTGGCATAATTTTGGAATACATTTTTATCTATCTGTCTGTCCATCTATCCATCCCTCTCTCCATACACACCCAAGCAGATGTGTGCTCGTTGAACTGATTACAGAAGCTGGCTTTGTGAATGTATTTTAAACTGATAACATCCTTTCATGGACATCGACTAATATATCTATGGTGGAATCAGTGCCAGACCTACAACCTCAGTCTGTAATACTGCACAGCTGCCATATACTACACGCCGTTACAGAAATGAGCATTTTGGTTTGGCGACACGCATATAATGATATTATATCCATGTGTAATACAACACAACCGTAAATCTATAACTTCCTATAATCTATCTACATGGTAACATGTTCTATTCTGTACCAGTGATAGAAGACGAAGGGAAGGAGAGTCTAAGGTTATCATAGCGCCCCACAGTTTCTCAGCCTGCTGCACGGTTATTTTTAGAGTTCACTTCTTGTTAGTAAGTAATGTATACAAAGGGTTCCTTTCCTACCTGTGGTCTGTAGCCAGATGCAGAGGCAGAGCCACTGCCACTCCATCTTAGATCTGAGGGCACTTGACATCTGGTGCACTTCTTCACTCTGGGACCAAAAGTCTTTCCGAGTCTGCAGAAACAGGAGAGTGCTGGGGGCGGGCTGTATGACAGAGCCCACAGCCAGCGTGTAAGCTGCTTCTCACTAGCATCTGCTGCAAGGCAGCCCGAGGTGAGGATGATTCTGGAGCAACCATGCGGACCCCAGCGGGGCTGCACTGGCACGAATGAGATGCCAGGCTGGCTCCATATGCGCTGTGCTGGGGAGCTGAATGAATTCCTTGTGCATCCTAATCCTGGCCTCCTCTCCAGGCCCAGGCTGGCTTACTGCTGGTGCACTCCCAAACCTTTCCAAGCATTAGAAGAGGGGTGATGGCAGGTTTAAGGGATGGTTGGAGGACAGACGGATCATTTGGCACTTTGCTGGTCACTCCTAGGGGAGGATGCCAGATGGCGGGCAGAAAGGAGGAGGCCAGGCTGAGTGGATGAGCCTCTCTCTTCACTTTGCATATGGCCTGCCTGGCAGGTCTGCTTTCTGGTGAGCTTTCAGCATAATTTTTGCTGTAGCTGAGAGCTTGGAAGGCAGAGAAGTCTTGAAGGCGGAGAAGGTCTGGGTATAACTGCCTAACGGGGTCAGTAGCCCTACACGGTCTGTTCCAAAGCCCAAAGAAAGCACCAGAGAGATGATAAGAGTCCTGCTCACATGGTACCAGGCCCTGTAAAAGCTCAGGATTACTCTGTATTATTTGTTATAGAGATAATTTAGTAGCATTTAAGCATAAGGGCGCAGTTTGCTTCAAGTCACTTATTAGAGCTCCAGGTTGCCTTTCTCTTTCAAGAATAGCTGGTTGACTCTAATCTGAAACTGTTAAGGCTTTTACATAATTCCCCCCTTTGCTCAGGACTTAAATGCATAGGTTGCTTGTCCTTTTAACTACATATTCTCAGCAATGCTGGTCAAAAACCAGATGTTTTGGGGGAAAATATCACTTTCTCAATATTTTTTCATGATATTTTTAATTGGCAAGTTTTAAAAGAAGAAAATGAAGACCAAATGGAACACTTTTTTTGGCTTTTCCTTGGGGGCGCCCCCCTCAGTTCCATCACACTCGTTTAGTTTTGATCGCTTTGTCCCTGACAAAAACAACAACATAATGAAAAAAGGTTGAATTCCAGCTTCTGGTTTTTCATTAAAAATCAGAATTTTTCAAAACATCAAAGATGTACTGAATAATTGTTCACTTTTAGAAAAACAAAAAGGCATTTTTCATTGAAAAAGGGTTGGCAATAAAACGTTGCCACTAGGTTTCCTATTCAGGAGCGTCCATCTACTTACACTTTGGCTGGAGGTGGAAATAGCCTTTTACTTTTCTGTAAGCAGGGCGTTTCTCCTTGTCTTGGATAATGCTGAAAGCAAAACTTACTCTCCGTAATCCAAACATCAGAGGCGCTAGGAGAATTACAGGAAGTTTTGAAAGCTACAGCAAGAAACCTCAAACATGTTTCGTGGCTGACAAAGCCACAAGAGTAAGGCAATTCTGCTAAGGTTCATTGCCAGCTGCCGATGTGCTGTCACATTAAATTCTATCCTCTCGGGTGTACGTGCAGTAATACTGAAGCACGAAAGTTGCTCTGAGTTATGGGTGTTGGTAGGCTTCAATATGTACTACTTTAATAGTGAAATGTCTTGAGTTGATTTACTTTTTCCCAGTTGAGGGTGGGGAAGCTATCATCAAACTTCTGTATTTTCGCAGGTTTATAAGAAACCCAGACAGGTCACGAGCATTTTATTTATACAACACTTTGTCTTTTCGGCTGACGCTGCCATTGCTCATTTTTATTCATGCCCCCCCACATTTTCCTTTCCAATCAATAAATCTGAAGTCTTTCTTTCCCAGTGGAAGAGGTTCAAGAGGAAGTGCTACCTTGACTACCCCTTAGCCTAATGGGTAAGGTGTGCTCCTGCTCGGGACGTAGCAGGAAACAATCATCTCCCAATTTAAGCAGAGAGAAAAATAGGAAGATGACTTCACATAACATTTCAAGGCAGTTTCCATTCTGCCGGCAGACTTCATTTTCCTTTTATTTCCCCCACCTCGGGCTGCTCCAGGGTATTTTAACTCCTTGATTGCCAAAATGATTTTTGAAATCACACGGGATTTTGGGTAATGAAACAGTCGGACTACATATTTTGAGAAAAATGTTGATACAAATATCATGGGAAATGCAACTGTCTCTATAAAAACAGTTTGGCATGAAAATTGTTTATTGAATAAAAAGACATCTCTGATGGGAGAGACTCCTCAGGCATGAAATATTGACTAGCTCTATTCCTGCTCATTTTACAGTCCCGCAAACTGAACTGTAGCATCACTTAATAATACCAGTGGCATAATGGGATTCTTGGTTTACCCTGTTCCCGCACAGAGAATTCCTGCGTTTCCTTGAATCGTGAGAAACATTTCTCCCAGGTTCCTTTGACAATATGCTACCCTGGACAGTTCGAGTAAAGTCGCTTTTCCCCTCGGTTTTTCTTTATGATGGAAAGAAAAACTGAGTTGTGCCTTTCAGCCCTGTAGAGATGAATCTGCCCCATTTTCTATAGTTTTCTAAGCTTTATGATTGCTATTCAGTTCTCACTTCTCCAGGCTATACAAGGAGAACGGAGACATGCATTTCAGGGATTTAAACATTCTGGGAGAATTATTTAGCTGAGTTCACGTCTCCCCATTTGGGTGAGTGTGTTATAGCCAGCTGCAATGCTCAAGGGATCCGAGTCCATCGAACAAATCTGCTGAGTTTATTATGCAAGTAATAGCCCTGTTTTCCTTCTTGGAGAGCTATCACAAAAAATCTCATCTGTGCCTGTTTTGGTGCGGGCACTTTTCATACTTGGTTTAGTTTCATTGGAAGTCATTTCAGATGTGGTAAAACTACCGGCTGCAGAATTCAACGTACCTTTAGAACAAACTTGGAAGTTTGAGCCAAAGTGCTGCGCACACATTACGAGTAACATCAGCAGCCTCCGTACACAATACACTAAATAAAATTCTCTTTTGGCGTAAATTGATGCAGCTCCTTTGTCTTGAGGGGGGCTGTGCTAATGTATACCAGCTGAAGAGCCTGCTCTGCTATCTTCTTACTGTGAAGACTGATACTGGCCCGTTGTACAGCTCGATATCACACTGGATCAGGCTGAACTTCAGGTGCTGGGTGGAGTTTGTTCTTGCAAGATTCCACTTTATTCCTGTTCTCTGGCAATGGCAGGAGAGTTTTTTCGTGTTGATGCCAGGATGCATTTTCCTGGGGGCACGTGCAGACTTTGGGTGAAACACTTAACTCTTTTGCAAGGAAGGAACCCACCTCTTAATAACTAAGGACCTTTGAGGGAGGAGGGTGGAAGGCAGTGACTGCATTCAGAATTGGTTAGTGTTCTTTGGGGCTGAAATGAGAAGGCAACTAATTTGTCTCCATTTTACAGAGCACAGAGGCATGGCTGGATTCAGCAAGCTATGCACAGCACAGAAGTGGGACTTGAAGCTGGACCACCTGCATCCCAGTGCAATGCTCTTCACAAGGCTTGTGGCAGCTGAAAAGTATGTCTGTGTGATAAAAGTGCT